TATGTTCCTTTTACACCTAATTTGTTCCCGGTTTTTATAGTGAAAAGCTGTTACTTTGTGCATTTATTGATGTGATCATATAGGTTTTGTCCTTCATTCTAGTTGATGTGGTGTAGCATGTTTTTTTTTTTGATTTGCACATGTTGTCTTACTTGGTAATAATGAATAATTTTTTAATGTACTGATTGATTTAGTTTTCTAGTACTCATATCTATATTTATCCAAGATGCTGGTTTGTGCTTTTCTTTGCTAATTGTGTCCCTGTCTAGCTTCATAAAATGAGTCTGGAAGAATTCTAACTTTAGTTTTTAAAATAATTATTAGGAATTCATTTTTTAGTTCTTTATTTTACATATTTCAGCATTAAGATTATCTGGTCTTGGACTTTCTTTTGTGGAAGATATTTCATTACCGAATCAATAACATCACTTATAATTTGTTTTTTTCAGGTATTCTGTTTCTTCATGATTTAGATTGTAAAAGTACAGGTTTCTAGGGATTCTTCCACTTATTCTAGATCATCATATGGTTGTAGAAGAATATATTCTCTAACAGTTCTTGCATTTTCTGTGATACCAATTGCATTTCTCTGTTAGTGAGCTTCTTTGCTCTGACAGAAAGATGACATAGCCACCTTAAAAGAGGAAGAATTTATTTGGGATTACAGTTTAAGAGTCTTCAATCTATAATCAGCAGGCTTCATTGCTTTGGGGCACAAGCTCAAGCAGAACATCATGGCTGAGAGTATGTAGTGAAACAAAGCTGTTCAAATCAAGGCAACACAAAGCTGCTAATGTTACAGAAGCCAGGAAACACAGAAACCAAGCTTTCATTTTGCTGGGATATTTTATTCCATGCCTCTATTCTTAGATAGAAGTGTTATTATAGGCAAAGTGATTTCTGTATAAGAAATGTTTTCTGATTAGAAATACTCAATGACCATGCCATGTAGTCCATTTTGTTTTTATAGGAAAATACCTGAGACTGGTCATATTTACTGAATGGTACAATTCTTATTTATAAAGACTGGAAGTTGCTTGCATGTTTGGCAACTGGTAAGGGCCTAAACTCCATTTCCAAGATGATGTATTGAATGCTGAATCCTCCAATGGGATGAACACTCCTTCCATGGCCAAAGTGGCAAAAAGTGATGCAACTTCCACAAGCCCCCTTCTTTATACTGGCATTAATGTAACTGCACAGACAGACCTCTCATGGGTTAAATGCAATCCATTAGGTTCCCATCTCCCAACACTATTGTATTATGTATTAATTTTTAAGCACATGAATTTATAGGGGATAAAACCATGGTAAGATCTGACTAATACTATAGTATTAGTTTTTACTTGATATCATCCAGGTCTGACCTTATCTGACTATACCTTCCATTCGCCTATCCATTGTCATAAATGCCCCATGTGAAATGCCCGTCTTTGGATGTATACTCTCTATCCCTGATTACTACTTCCTTGTACAGCTCATCCCAGAAGCCTCAATACTTCTTATAGTCTGTTAACAGATCATCTGACCTTGTATCTGAGGTACCACCAAATCTCTTCCTAGTCCTTTACTTCCCTTAGAACAGTGGCTCTCAACTTTCATAATGCTGTGACCATTTAATACAATTCCTCAGGTTGTGGTGATCCCCAGCTATAACATTATTTTGTTACTTCCTGACTCTAATTTTGTTGTTACTGTTATGAGTCCCACAAGAACACTCAGCTACACAATCATAATGTATATGCAGAGGACCTAGCTCAGACACTTACAGGGTCTGTGATTGCTGCTTCAGTCTCTGTGATCCCTTATGAGTCCTGCTTTGTTGATTCTGTGGCCTGTGTTCTAGTGGTGTCTTCGACCCCTCTGGTTCCTGCATTTCTCCTGTCATCTCTTCTTTAGTGTTCCCCTGCTCTGCTTACTGTTTGGCTGTGGGTCTCTGCATCTTCTCCCATCAGTTGCTGGATGATGTTTCTCTGATGACAACTGGGTTAGGCACTGATCAATGTGTATAGAAGAATATCATTAGTAATTATTTCCATGATTTTTTTCTCCAATCATTTGGTTCTATCCTGGGTCTCTGGGCTGCCCAGCCTCTGCTTCCTGGCCATTCAGGGAGTCACAAGCATAGGCTCCCTCTTGTGGCATGGACCTCAAGTTCGACTGGTCATTGGTTGGTCACTCCCACAAGTTCTGCGCCACCATTACCCCAGCACATCTTGGAGTTAGAACAGATTGTAGGCTGAAGGTTTGAGGCTGGTTTGATATCCCAGTCCCCTGCTGGAAGCCTTTCCTGGTTATAGAAAATGGCTAGTTCAGGGTCTGTATCCTTCATTACTAGGAGTCTTTGCTAGGGTCTTCCTCATAGAATCCTGGGAGTTTGATAATGAGATTGATGATTACCCTATATCCTGTCCTAGAGCCTTCATCCAGTAGCTGATGGAAGCAGAGGCAAACACCCACAGCTAATCATTGAACTGAACTCTGGAATCCAGTTGCAGAGAAGGAGGAATGATGGGCAAAAGGGTCAAGACCAGGCTGGAGAAACCCACAGAAACAGCTGACCTGAACAAGGGGGAGTTCATAGACCCAAGACTGACAACTGGGAAAACAACATAGGACTGTTCCAGGTCCCCTGAGTGAAGACATCAGTTTGGAGGTCTGCTTAATCTATGGAGCCTCTTGTAGTAGATCAGTACTTATCCCTACCATAGGAATGGACTTTGGGAGCTCATTTCACATAGAGGGATACTCCCTCAGCCTAGACACACGGGGGAGGGCCTAGGCCCTGCTCCAAATGATATGACAGACTTTGAAGATCCTCCATGGAAAGGGTATAGGATAGGGGCTTGGTGGAGGACAGGGGAGGGAGAGAGAACTGGGATTGGCATGTAAAACAAGCTTGTTTCTAAGTTAAATAAAAAAGAAAAAGAAAAAAGAAAAAAGAATCCTGGAAGTTTCTACTTCACTAGCTTTCTAATCACCCCCCCAAGTGCCTCCCAACTTCAGCAATCTTTCCCAGTACTCTCTCTACCCCCACCTGATCCCTCCTGTTCTTATCTGGCTTGTCCCCAGTTTACGTGCAAGGTATGTTATAGTTTTGAATGTCTCCAACAGATTTGACATTAAATGGATATCTAAAAAAGAATCTAGCAATTCTAAAAATACTATCAATTCAATTGATTTCTAACATTTTCTGTGAACACTGTGTGTGTGTGTGTGTGTGTGTGTGTGTGTGTGTGTGTGTGTGTGTGTGTGTGTGTGTGTGTGTGTTCAAAAGAAAACTTGCCAGCATTGCGGCTGGAAATTCAGTCTACTTTCTCTACCTGTCTTACTATTTTTTCATCAGTATACCAAATGTTTCTTTAAAGAGAGTGTTAATACACTGATATAAATTTATCTTATACTAAAAGTCTCATGGAAGTGAAATTGATTTTTATGACAACCTAACATTCTTTGGAATAATTCACTCATCTAACAATAAACCAAATTACCATCATGTTCTAGCATCTACTTGACATTAATTCAAATATGAGGAAAAATATAAAATCTTGTGCCCGAATGCAGATATATCACTATAATATTGGGAATGATTTTGGGATTGGCATTTATAAGGCCTATTATATTTTATATTTTCTGTCTCTGGACTGCATATTGGATTCTGGTATATGGTTGCAAAATCTTATAGCAACCTGAAGGCACAACTAAGATCATGATCCTGGGATTTGGAAATCTTAGGCCTTTACACTTCCTGCTATAGTATAATAAAGCTCCGGTTCTTACATCAAGCACTGATCATAAAACACAGTTCACTAGCAGAAAAAATTTAAAATCAAACTATGTAAAGTCAACAACCTCCCATGGTCATTAACCACTTAGAACATTTTTCTACTTCACTTTCCAGTTGATGGTCTTTTTCTAACCTAAAGTTGAGCTCAAAACTGAATGCTAACTTCTACCAGGAAATCTGTAGCATAAATGAAATTAGAGTTTTACTGTGTGGTCTTTCTAGAAATTAGTTGCAAACTCCATTTCTTGTTCTTCACATGGGTAGAACAATCATCTTTTGAAGGAAATGATCACAAAGAAGTATTTAGAAATTAAAACACTTTAATATAAACTTTTTTTTTCAGAATATAGACCGATTTCTATCAGCCCTTTGGAGAACCTTTTAAAAGTATATATCATCTAATTTATTATACTCTAATTTTCCACTTTCAGAACTAGAAAATACAAAAATACACTGCAAATTAGATTTAACAAAAAATGGTCTAAGTTGCTTCATTCATTTTCATTGGAGAAAAGAAAAACATTAACACACAACAGTAGTAAAATACCACCAATACTAACACAAATTCTAAAAGGAATAGATTCTTCGAAGTCTGGTCTCCCACAGGCCTGACCATTCTTCCAAAATCAAACAAGACTGGGAAAATTCAGGGTGGTATGGCTGTAGACTGCTGTGTAGTTCACCATTTTAAGTACATGATTTCTATGAGCAAACAATTCATTTTCATTGCAACTTGATGGACAAAGTAGAAACACCTCTACTTAAGAAAATCATAATATATATAAGCAATAGAATACATTTTCTTTCTTAAAAAAATCAGAGAAAGTAACTTTAAAAAAGCATATTGAATATTTTTACCTCATCTGGCTTTTGTTAGTAATTAACTGTACACATGTACAAATACACAAATAACACAAATTTCACGAAACCAAAAGTTTTCAACCTTTCTTCATCTTGCAAATTAGAAAGCACTTAATCTTCTGAATTTTCTTCAGTAAGTTTCTTCCTCTCCCAATCTTCTTAGTATTATGTTCTTGCTTCTTGAAGGCTAGGTTTAGACTTTGTGGTTCTTTTAATTACATTTTGAAAGCAGGGAGTGATAGAAAGAGTGAAGGGTAAAGCAGATGAGAGAGGAGAGCAGAGCAGAGGGGATGAACACACACCACACCACAGCGTGCGCATGCGCGCGCGCGCACGCGCGCGCGCGCACACACAAGAGAGAGAGAGAGAGAGAGAGAGAGAGAGAGAGAGAGAGACTCTTTTCACGATCTGACACTTTTTTTTTAACCAATTCTCTTCATTTGAAGCGCTTGATTTTTATCTAAATTTCCTCAGAATTTTTTCCCACTGATTTTCTTGACTCACTCTTCTGTAAGTAAAACTAAAAGTTCAAAATCCTTGAGTAGGTTTACCTCAAAACATTTCCTTAAAGGCTTGAGTTTCTCATGTTGAATTTCAATTTTTGCAAACAAAAAACCTCAAAGGTTTTTTTTTGAGCTGACAATTTGCCTACCTTTCCTTGACTTTACCAGTTACTCCTGTCTTTATCTAAATTAGCATTATTTTCTTTTATCCATTCCTGGGTATTCTCTAAGTTCAAAACCCAAGAATTGACTCATCCCAAAGGATTTCCTCTTCTGTTCTTTCTTCAACAGACTTCTTTTTCTCCTTCTTGTGCTTACGTTCTTCCTTCTCTGAGGCTGCTTCATGTTTCCTTTTCTTTTTTCGATGCTTTATTTTCTCAGAGCTGACCCCAGCTTTATCTTCCTCTCCTTTAGTTTGTTCGGTGCTCTTGTCTTGGTCTAAATCTTTATCCTGACAGCTCCTTTTTCTTTTATGCTTGGATTGTTCCTTCTCTGGCCTTTCTTTTCCTTCCTCCAGGTGTCGCCTTCTCTTCTGATGTCGTCTTTTATGACTTGTTTCATGGGCACTGGCACTGTCATACGAGGGCAGCTGCTTGTAAATGTCAAACTCTACACTGTGTGAGCCAGGATTATTTTCTTGCTGACTAAGGCTCAGGGGAACAGGTTTTTCTGAGAAACAATCTCTCGTGAACTGATAGTAGCTATCAGAATCTAGGCTCTGCTGGCTCTCATAAGCTGGTAAATAATGAGGTAACTTGTTTTCTACAACATGCGAACTGTTGTGTGGATCTGTGTAAGTCTGGAAAGTCTCACACGGGAATCTTTGCTCAAACATTCTATGCTTGGATCTTCTGTCATCCATCTCTCTGTAATTATGGGTTTCAATAGCACTATCAATTCTTCTAAAAGAAGTCTTTGGCTTGAGTTCTCTAGATTCCTGCACCTTGTTGTAATCATCAAATTCAGCTTGGAAATCATCATTTCTCCTCTTTGAATGAGGTGGTAACCAGTGAGGTAACTGGCCTTCCACTGGTGAACCATTGTATTGTCGCTGGTAGGTCTGTGGACACTCAGATGAAAATTTTTCCTCACACATCCTTTGTCTGTATCCAGGATCAAACCTTTCTTTGTACCTCTGATCCCTATATCTATAGTTTTCTGTTATTCGTCTAAAACTAATATTTGGATCAAGTCCTCTGGCCTTCTGCCCTTTGATGTAATCTTCAAGCTCATCCTGGAAAGAGTCGTATGTTTTTGACTGTGCTGGTACACAATGAGGTAACTGGTCTTCTACCGCTCGACAATTATTGTATGGTCCTGGGTGTGACCAGAAATTTTCAAGTGGATGTTTTTGTTCAAGCATTTTATGTCTGGGTCTGGAATCAACCATATCTCTGTACCCACGGACTTCCAAGTAATTATCCTCCATCTTCCTGAAATGAGCCCTGGACTCTAGCTCTCTAGATTTCTTCACTTTACTGTAATCTGCACATTCACCTTGGTAAGACTCTTGCATCTTCTTTGAATTCTTTGCTTGACTGATAACATGAGATTCTCTGCAAAGAAAATAATACAAAGTTTTGATTATTCTGAATATTTTCTTTGCTATAAAATATTAGTTTAAACAAAATCTACAAAGGTTGAAATAAAAATTTAAAACTATAAAAATGAATTTTGATGCTGAAAAGATATAGCATGGGTAGTCAGATATCTCTCCAGAATTTCACAAGTTTTATGCAAAAACATTTCTTAGAAGATGGTAGAGTGGAAACATTGACACTTTCATTTTCTTCATGATATTGAAATAAAATCACAGACAAAGAGCTGCAGGGAGAAGGAATGCTGTGGAAAGATCCCAGAGTGCAACAATAGACAATAACAAAGTGAACTACAGGAATACTGAATGTTCAAACAGTAAGTGATTTAAATGGTGAACCATAATACCAAGGGCACAGCAATAAACTATGGATGGGGAAGATGACCCTCAGTGGGGCTATTGGAAACTCTTGGTGAGTTCCAAATTATAGAAACTAGCACCTTGTAAAAGTAAAGTCTAACACCTTTCCTGGGGTGGAGAGGGCAGAGTAAATGAGTACCTGTCTGCTGGATGTAATCTCAAGCCTGTATCCCTGCTGCGCTGGACTCACCCAACCCTCTAATCTCTCTCAGAAGTGAAATTGACAATTATACTTCCCATGCCCTGAACAGAAGGGCCATGTTGACAATAGAGCTGGGGTAGCTGAGGCAGTGGTCTGTGGTAGCCTGGAAACCAGACATCAAGAAGAGAGTTGGCCTGAGGGTAAGCTGGCAGAAGCACCTGTCCTGATCTGAAGTTCCCTCCTATGACCCTGGCAACACTCACCATTTCTCTAATGCTTGGATGTGCAGATAGAGATTGATGGCATTGATTTAAAACAGCCAGCTGATTTCCAACCTTATAAATAATAGTAGGGCTGTTTTGAAAATCCAAAAAATACAGTCTAAGAGAGGAGGCCTATAATCTATTAATAAGCTGACCCCAAAGAAGAAGTCACCTGTATTTCTCAGCTTAACTCATTGCTGCTGAAACGAAGAACCATCTTAAAAGTTGTCCTGTTGTCCATCCTTACTTCTGGATGTATAAATCCATCCATTTTACTATCTCCAAAATCCCAACATTTTCTCTGATTCTTTGAATATACATTGTCTAGACTAAAAAGATCAACAAAGAGACTTTAAACTGCACCATTAATCAAATGGACTAAGAACACAATATTTGATCCAACAGCTATAGAATACACATTCTTCTCAACAGCTTCTGGAATTGCATAGCCATGGAAATATTAGAGAGAAGAGAAAAGACGCTCCCTATATGGATTTGGAGCTTGCATTCTAAGAGGGAATCCATGCCTACTGTTGTAAACCTGCTCCAAAACCCATGGCTGAAGAGGTCTTAGACCCTGGGAAGGGATGGTATGATAGTCCCTCAATGTTTACGTCCACACACAAAGGCTAGTCTTTGCCTTGAACAGAGAGTCCTCTCCTTTTCAGGTAAATGCAGAGACTCATGGCTGCATAAGATGCTGAGAATAAAGGCTTGGCCCTAAACTAGACATTTACACCACCCACTTAATATTCAAGGAACATTGAGGAAGATGGATCAGACAGAATATTAAGTTCTGGTGAATGGGAAGAAGAGCTAAAATTGTATCTTTAAAGCACAACACAGAGACAAGTATGAACTTACAGCAGCTATGTATACTAACACCAGGTCCACAGAAGCTGGGCCTCCTAATAGTCAGCTATGAAGAGGGAAAGGATTCATGAGGTCCTACTGCATACTATTGATCTACTGTCAACCAACTGATTCTTGGATAGGGGCAAGCATAGTATCCAGATGTCTACCCAATGGTGATTCCACAAGCTTCTGATGGGTAGTTCTGAACTCAAGATCAGGCAGACAGCCCTCAATAAACTTAGTGGAATACTAAAAAGAATCAAAGCTAGTACACAGCAGGAAGAGATAGCAAAAGTGGCTAGTAGGGGCCATGTGTGTGTGTGTTGGAGGGGGGACAGGAAAGGTAGGGAAGAATAAAATGAATACATAGTGTACATGTACAAAATTGTGTAAGAACAAAATTTATTTATTAAAGAAGAAAGGGAAATACAAGACAACAAATGCTGATGAGAATGCAGAGAAAAATGAATATACAATTTGGTGGGAATGTCAATTAGTGCAGTTACCACAGAAATCTGTATGGAGGTTCCTCAAAAACTAAACATATAACTGTCATCAGATCCAACTATATTATCCCAAGTCATATACCCAAAAGGATCACTTACAAGAGAGATGCCTACACAGCAATAACATTCACAATAGCCAAGTTTCACAATAGTTTAGGTGACTACCAGCAGATAAATAAAGAATATGTTGTGATGTGCAAAGAAATACTGTTTAATTACAAAGAAAAATAAAAATAGTATTGTTTGCTGCAAAAAATAAGATAGACATGGAGATCATGGTGTTAAGTAATTTCTCTTCATCTTGAAACTGCATATTAATATTGACTAAAAATGGATCTGTATTCTGTATTCTAGCTATAACAGCATGACCTTTGCTTTTAACATTATACCTCACTATAAAAATGATGATTAGATAACTGAATCCTTGGAACTAAGAAAATCTTTTTGAGAAGCCTTGAATTTGCATGATTAACCTGAAGAAAGATGATCTTTTAGCATATCTACAAAGAAAAATAATTTTGTTTATTCAGGAGGGGACACCAATTTGCCAGACAGATCTGCCAGTTCATTACTGTGATTAGAAAATATCCTTGGCACTAGTGTGTAATATGTCACAAATACCTCCTACCATTTCTAGGCTCAGGTAATAGGAAAATGAATATCTAGAAAGTTTGTAAAATATATTAGAGTATTTGACTAGAAGCTTTGGTAACATGAGAATGTTTTTGACAAAAACCACTTACTTAATTTGATGTTCGCTTCCTTGCATGTGGGACCGGAACATATGTAAAGATGTAAAGGTGATACTGCAGATATGGCATACGTAGGTTCTCATTCTATATGCTATAAAATGATAACAGTTTAAGAAGATCAACAGGTAAACACTTAGAGTCATATAATGTCAGTAATGGATGATAATTTACTAGAGACCCTCTACTTGAAATTTCTCAAGAAGACTGGTCCCAAGACATAAAATTACTTGCTGATAGTCACACAATCAAAGAGTAGAGTTAGTATTTCTTAGCCCATGTTTCTAAATTTAATGCCCAGAATTCTTCATACTATACACTTTATCTATAGTCTTCATTTATTTTCTAAGAATCTGCTATGTGCTTGCTTGCTGTTGCTACATACACTGTACAGCAGGGACCTCAAACTTATTATGGCTAACAAACTTATTATTATTCTTCATTGTTATTAAACAGCCTTTTTGTTCACTATTAGTTATTTTCCTACACAACCGAACCCTGAAACGTTCAAAAACTTTAGTTAAAAAATAGTTAAATTTTACTCTTTTACCTGAAATCACTGTAGTTACCAACAATATTTCCCACAAATTTTAGAAAAGAGAATCAGTGAGCCCCATGCATAGGATGAAAGGTGAAAGTAAAAATTCTGAAATGATAGTTGGCACATTTAAAATGAGTAAAAACAAAATAAAACAACAACAAAACCATAAAAACAACTACTGCACCTAGATACAGCAAGAAGGGCCTAGGCCCTCCCCCAAAGGTTGGCAGATCATATACTAAAAAATGAAATGAAAATGAGCTTTGCAGACAAATGAATGAAACTAGAGGAATTGTTCTGAGTGAGATAACTCAGACCAGAAAGACAAATGGTGCATTTTCTCTTTGATAAGTGGATACTAACTTCAAATCTTTAATTACATGTATTTAACCTAGAATGAAGTAAAGAACTACAAAGAGGACAGTGATGGACTTTGATGGTCCCCATGGAGGGCCTCACTATCCCTGGGGAGGAGATGGGGTGGGTTGGGGGCACTTGGTGGGGAACATGGGAGGAGGGAAGAGTGAGGGGATGGAGGGATGGATATGTAAATATGGGTGCCTCTAAAATTAAAAAAAAAAACCTTCCCAAAACAAACAAACAAACAAACAAAAAAACAAAACTGTAAAAAAAAGCTTTCAAAGTAGAATTAGTTGCAGGAAATAAACTTATTTTCTAAATCATACCATCCTTCCAATTTCTTCTTGGTCAGAAGATAAACAACATTCATGAAACAAGTATAAAGTCAACACTATTCTAGAGATGCGGCAATAAATTGGTACCACATAAATTTTAAGGACAAGCAGAATCACCTTCTTATAAGTCAAACAGCAGCTTAATCACCTAAAGGAAGAGAAGTTAATCATATTCAAGTGTATTGACCTTTGATGAACAAAAAGTATTTACAGAAACCAGAGACTACTTTCAGGGTAAAACAAAAATGTTACTGAATAACATAGTCAGTAATCAATGGGTTACATTAAATTTTGAATGAATGTCTTGATAAGGCTACTCAGAACATCCTTTAGACATAGAACAGTCTTTCAAAAAGTGGTATTAAGGAAATTGATTATCTACATAAAAATGTAGGTAGACTTCTGCCTCTCACCAGTTACATTGATTAACTCAAAATGGACTAAAGACATAAATATAAGACTGACATAGGGGCAAACATGTATATTCAGGCAATAACAATTGATGAACAAGAGGCCATAAATTTCAAGAAGAGTCGGGGAGGAGTATATAGAAGAGCATTGAGGGAGGAAAGGAAAGGGATGAAAGCTGTAATTAAAATACAGTTTCAAAACTAAACAACAACAAAAAGACTCACAGCTATGAAATTACCAGAAGAAAAGACAGGTAAACTGCTCCAAGATACTGTAATATGTGAGGAATTTTGGAAAGGGCTCTCAAAATTCAGGAAGCAAATGAAAAAACAGACAAATAGGATTGTTAAAAAAAACAAAACAAAAAAAAAAAAGTTAAAGCTGCCAGGATAGGCTCCAAAGCTACACAGAGAAACTCTGTTTTGAAAAACCAAAAACAAACAAACAAACAAAAACCCAAAACAAAAAACGTTAAAGTTCCTGCACAACAAAGGAAGCACACAGAATAAACAGACAAGAGGGAGAAAGTATTGTGATTTGTGTATATAACAAGCAATTGAGATCCAGAATATTTAAGGAACTGCCAAACCTCAATAACAACAACAAAAACCTTTGGTTGTTTCTCAGGAGACATCCAAATGTCCAATGAGTACATGAAAAATAACAGACCATCACTAATCATCAGGTAAATGAAAACGGAAAGAACAAGGAGATGCCACAATATAAAAAAGCCTAAGGATAGGAAATGCTGGTGAGGATGTGGAGAAAATGTTGTTAGAAACCTAAATTAGCAGCACTTGGGAGGCAGAGGCAGGCAGATCACTGTGAGTTCAAGGCCAGCCTGGTCTCCAGAGCGAGTGCCAGGATAGGCTCCAAAGCTGCACAGAGAAAACAAAAAACAAAAACAAAAACAAAAACCAGAAACCTAAATTAGAAAAACCAGTTAAACTATGTTAAACTATGGAGGCCACTTATCAAATAAGAAAATAATTACCACACGTTCTTGTAAATGCAAAATTAGTGTATACCCAAAGGAACTACAATCAATATGTAAGAGACATATTTTTTATTTAAATCTTTCATTACTACTCATATTTACATATCCATCCCCCTTTCCTCACCCTCCCCTCGCCCCATGTTCCCCACCCAACCTCCCCAACCCACCCCCGACTCCTCCCCAGAGATAGTGAGGCCCTCCACCAGGGAGCCTCACAGTCAGAC